TCGGAAATGTTATGCGCTAATGCTGCATGCTAATAAGTATAATAAATCCACTTATGTAATCCTTCCTGATCGGAAACGCATTCCAGAATTTTGGCCATTTCATGAGATCGGGCAAGCACTGTAGACAAACGACAGATAAGATGCTAATGGAACGGGCATATAGTATCTTAGAAAACCTTACAAATACAAACTTTTTAAAATCAAAGAAACGTTTTTTCAAAACCCAAAACTCACAGGAGACGCAAATTTCTACCAGATTAGTATAAAAGATATTTACGAAATTTTTCAATGAATAATATATTTAAATTTAAAATGACATCAAAACAAAAGAGGAAAATGCATACTACTTAAGTAATCTTTTTTATTGAGTGCGGTTTTGCAGGCGGCCGGACGAAGGTGCAGTCAAAGGCCGGTAGCATTGAGTGACTGTAGTATCTTGGGTTACAGCAGCAAGAAAATGAATATCACAAACGCACTTAAGCAATCCTCTCTAATCAAAAACATATTTTGTGAGATTAATCGCTGACCGAACTTTCGGCCTCGTGTTTCCGTATTTGTTGAAAATCACCACGTGTTTTGCCTGTATAAATATCGATGCGCTAGGCAAAGCCTGGATGTTACCCGAGTTCAAAGTCTTTTCGATTTGCATTACCATGACCTTGAGTGAGACGTCTAATCAATGGGCGGTGCCCAAACCCAGGTCAAATGCGACGCGTTTCACGACTTCGGACATGGCCCCGATATAAATCAAGGCGTGACAATGCACGGACTTCCGACTGTGCGGTCTGGGGAGTATTTAGCTTGTCTTCTTGGATGACGAGACCATCGGGCCAATGGACATGCAACTAGGGTTTTCTGTGTCTGCGGCTAGAACTCTGGCGACACATACAAAGGCAGCATTAACTGAAAACGGACATCTCAAGAACTTTAATTGAGAAGATGAAATTCTTTGAGAAGCTGTAACTCTTATGGTGTAAATTTTTGGACTTGTCCCCTGGCGCATCTTCTGACTCCTTAACTGAATCTAATAAAGGATTTTATGATCGGCCGAAGTCTGTGTCAATGCGTGTTGATTGAAATTCGTCACATTTTCGAGATTGACTGTGCCAGTTTTAACAGGTTCTTAACGATTTTGTACGTGGCATTTAGATCGATAGGCCGATTGCTGCATGCCTCATCTAAAGGCACTACTTCCAGCAATTCGCATTTAACTGGTCAGTCTAAAAGTGTGGACAAATTACAATTAACACGCAGTGGCGCAGAGTCAACAAATCGCAGATTCTTCTGATAGACTCAGTTAAGAATTAAATTGTTTTCATGCACTCATAATTTGAAAACCAGTTGGGGACCAGTCCAAAAATTTACACAACAGAGTTTAAATTTCCGGAGAATTTCGTCTTCTAACAAAAGCAGTATGTACGCCGCAAACACCAAAAATCACATGAAGAACCTGAACATTGATCTCATGTATTCGTTTTTAGTGCAGCACTTTTCCTAAGAAAAAGGGATCTCATTAGTCATTTTTTGAATTTATTCATCATAAATTTCTATCAGAGGAAGGCTTCTTGTAGACTGGATGAGCGATTCATTTTCGACAGACTTCCATTTTTCTGTCCGTTGTCTCTCATACTTTCAATTTCAACTCATAACGAGTGTTTAAGTGTGGTCAGTGGTTCACTTGTTTGGGTGGCTATTAAATAAACCACTAAATACTATAATTTAAACAGATAAAAAGACGACATCATGTGACCGCTTGGCTCTTGGTCCAAAATATTCACATTCAAAGTCATCACCTTCTTGCCAGCGGAATGAGAGTGGACGTACGAAGCATATACCGTTAGCTCGCCGCTCCCACAGGGATCCGGTGTCCCGGCAGCGTCAGGAAAACCGGTGTGAGGAGAGACCACATGCGACTGATGCAGCGTAAGTCTACACGGTTTGTCACCACATCCTCTGGTCCGCGCATAAGTCTCTGATCTAAAATTTCAGACAGGTACTGTAAGTCGGAACATTGGTCAAAGACTGTGCCGTGTGGCCCACGGTTGTCTAATACTAGTGAAGAAGTTAGGTTACAAATTAAAGGTGCCAAATAATTCCTTGAGTATGAGATATATATTCATATTTGACACTGCTAAGCAGGAAGTTTATGCGGATATCGAATCTCTGAAGAAATTCAGAAAATAGGACTGTTAACTATCACCTTAGTCCGTCGTCATGTTGAACTGTTGACCATTTATATGACCCTGCGAAATTATCTGAGGAAAAAGAAAAAAGCAAATAGGACGATGGACGCAACCGTTCATAGACCAAAACCTACGCCATTAACCGAAGTGCAGGGCTGAAGAGGGTTTGTGTTGTCTGCAGTCGGAATTTCCAAATTGTATGTAATGCGTAGTTTGTAGTAATCTGCGCGTCTTCTAATAAAAACTATATTAACAATTTTAGTATCAAAATCCTTAGTTTCGAAATTAATCCCGTGGAAGATCTAAGGTTATATAGAACCACGTTTAGGAATCAGTTTTTCATCAAAGCCGGATTTTGACTTTTACACATATCCAGAATTAGACAAAGGTACAGCTATTCTACGTAGCATATCCATTAACACATTCAAAAGTTTCATCCAGTGTTCTCATCCGTGCGCATTTTTAAAATACTTACTCAGACTATCATCTGGGCGATTCGAAAACCCTTCTTTTCAACCTACCTGAGGTTTCTACTTCTTTACTTAAAAAGTGACCTCCAAATTCACTTAACGTCCTGTAATGAAGAATATGCTGGACCGGAAATGGATCAATGTTTCACAAATTTCGCATTAAATTGTTGCTTCTTGCAGGGATTTTACTCTTTTAATCCATCTAAAATTGATTCTTTGACGTAAACAATAGGGTGGCTAACTCCGAACTAGGCATCGTATTATTAATTCGAGGAACTCAGACGCAACTCAGAAATTGCCAAAAGTGCCAACGGAAAAAACGGTGCAGAAATTAAAACGCCATTGGTGAACTTATTGCGGATTTGCATTGTCTGATGTAACGTTAGATAGCTTAGCAACCTTGGTAAGGTTCAAACTAACTACAGTAAATACAGGTTTTAGAAACAGTGTTTTCAACACTGTAGCTACGCTGCACTGACGGAGAGCCGTGAGTTTAATCATATTTAGGCCAAGTTACTCGCCCCACTCATTCCGACGAAGGGAATACACCAATTCCGACAAAGATGACTAACTGCCCACTTAGAGTTTCTTGAGTAATCAATTTGAAATCCATCGGAGGACTACCAAGCATTCTTAAATGTTAGATGTTTTTGGAAGATTTGCATAGTACATCTAACTTATTATGAGGAATGCCAGCAACATTCGGTTATATTCAGCGGACGTGTAGGCCACCGCGATGGGTCGGGATCTTGTGGAAAATAAAAAACTGATCCAAACCAGAACTAAACGGAATGTGTTTTACCTATCGCGGGTTGGAAACCAGTCGTTCTCCATTGGTTTCGGTGTATGGGCCAACGGTGTCAGTGCGGTCAATGGGAAATTGTGTTAAGTTATGTGCAACTAAGTAGTCACGTAGGTAGTCAGATTTCCGACACTGGCATCGCGCATTAACAACGCTAGTAATACCACTCATGGTCTCAGCTTTATAGAAGCAGAGGTAATCCCTTCAGGAAACAGTATTCAACGGTAAGGAAAACAGTATTTAACGCAACAACTGTGGAACCGACATATGAGGTGTCAGCCTGGTTTTTCGAGGTAGCTTTTTGGCACTGTGACATGACTGACGAATCCGTAGCAGAGAGAGAGAAGAACCTTTAAGACATAACAGACTTTTCAATTCGGCGGAAAGCAGGAGAAATTTGTGCTCGGGGATCTAAACAAAACGCAAATGGAATGCAACAGGAGTTTTGCCATCAAATACAACATCCCATATAGGTTTCCTCGGTTATCTAAACGCACATCGTCATCGGAGATCTAGGAACAATATGGCAAAGTGACCAAATTACGACGACTAATAGTGAGTAAACTGAATTTTAGGCCAGAAATTAAGCAAACAGGTCGAGGTTTGGGTTACAAATTTGTACGAACAATAGTTGTTATTTCTGCTCAGCAAGAAACCGGCTGAGGTTTCACTGAGTTCTATCTTAAAAGATATGGTAAACATGCTTCATTATGATAATCCCAAGAGAAAACGACAAGGGAGGTCGCCGTACAAGGGAGTTAAAGACAAATGAAGGCAGAAAGCTACGATATTGATCCGCAGGTTGGACATGACAACCACAGCAGATAATCGGACACTATTCAAAACCCTTGACGGCCGTGGTCGGATTCAAACTTACAGCAGCATATGTAGGGTTTGTTTGCAGTCAACGCATTTATCACATGAACAACGAGATTCTGCCGCTTGTTAACAAGCATTTCATTTGCTGCAGCGCAGATGAATTCCACCAAAGACCGTCGATTTTACTAAAGCGGAGTCAGATGAAAAGTGTTTGTAATAAACAAGAACACCCATTTTGCTATCTGAATACCGGATAGAAAATGCGTTTATTTCTTTGACTCCCATTTCTTTCGTTCAGGCGCTTGCCATATCAATATGCAAAAATTTTGTGTGCACAGGTTCAAAAGATAAAGTTTAGGTTTGAAGCATAATGCCGGTGTCTTTTATCTGCAAAACAAGCAGTCATCATAATTGGTCCTACTCAAAATAACGGATGATGGTTCAGGTCTCATAATAAATAAAACACGCCGCTCATAAAATGCTGCAAATCAAAACCCATACGGCCCCTGGAATGGCAAAAATTTATAAATCGAAATTGGTTAACTTTTTTACATTGTACAGACATTTGTTGAAAGAATGCAGGCCAGTGTTATCATTTGGTCCTATATTTACGCAAATAGAGCTTCTATCCAATGTCGGACTTTCGGTTTGGCCAATGAGGGACGCGTGGTGAGAACAATAAAAGCCGGGTCAACTGATTCTTCCTTTAAGCCAGAGGTAAACGGAATGGCACATGAACTTCCGAAAAATGCGATTCTAAGGCTGTTAGAACGCCTGTATCAAACTGATAGCAAATCGCACATACATTTTACAGCAACAGACCTCCTCGATGCATGGGATTTCTTCGATATTGACAGTAAGTGAAATCTATAGCTGATACTTTGCTAATATACCACGTCTATTGGCACACTTCTCCTTTCAAAGTCAAGAAAATCTAATGAATATTCTGCGTATTTCCCTGAAATTTTTTTCAGTCGCATTATTACCACAGTCGAAACTTAAAAGACTATGAAATTGATTAAAATGCCCTGGAAAAGTTAATGCCTATGCAATTATTGTGTATTAATTTTCAACGTCCTCGTTCATTTGAAGCCCTTCAGGATAAAGCGACTTTCGACATTTTGCGAGCCCATACAAAACATGCGTTTAGTCTCAGTGTAAAATCTCATTTTAAATGAAACACCACAATTAATTTTTTAAACTGAGTAAATATTTAAGTATTAGATACTTAACTATTAAGTAACAATGTTTTATTTAATAAACACGACAAACTGGACGTTTTGGACAAATGTCAAAAATGGTAGACTATTTCATGCGTGCGCAGTCCATAATAAACACCTCCACCTTTCGCGCAGGTTTCTCTTTGTCGTAGTAAAAACTAGTAGGGAATTAATTATGCATGAACAACTTTTTGCGGCCCAGTCGAGTGCAGAGGACGAATATTATGTTAGTCTTATTGGGCAAATATTTCACAAAAATCTAACCGAAATGGCAGAGGCATTTCAGTGCAGTCAGAAAAAACAAGGATAAAAGGGAAGATGTGGTACCTCAGCTGAGGTCGACTGGAGGCTATAGTTACCAAGCATATAAAAAATCTTGGCAAGAAGAGTGGGTTTCTTTAAGTTAATCGTGCTTTATTCAAAATGCATAAACTGCCAGGAAAAGGCGTTTGTAAGGAAAACAACGGGCTCATATGTGAGGCAAATCCCGAGTTAAGTATTCAAACAGTAAACGTTTAACTTTTGTGAAGTCTAAACAATTGTGAATCCCTTCAATCTGCCGTCCATATCAAAAGGGGTATTCGTAAATGTTTAAGTCCGTCCACAATTACATTTCAGCGATTAAGTTAGTAAGAGCAAGAACTCACCTTTCTGAAATTGCTTTTGCGTAAAACGTCTTCGGCAGACCATTAGTTGATTTTCTCCAGATGTACATATATTTCATTTTTGAGGCAACACTCACCTAAAAGCGTCATCGGAATTAGTGAAATTTACACGGTTATCTACTATTCACTAATTGGCAAGTCCTCAGTCAGAGAATGTTTTTATTTGAAATGCTAGAAATAACATTTTAAATGGCCATCCAGAACAGCCACTTAATATTAGTTAGTTTGTTTATCTTATGAACATTTGGTATGTAATCGCACTAAAGAAGACGCGCTTCGTCCAGAGAGCAATAGTATCCCAAAACATGTCGCCATACATTCAAGTTGAATTCATAAAACTGCCAGAATTCGATTCAAGCCATCATATCTTAGTACTCCGAGTAACAGTCGGCAATCTTTATGGCCAGTCAGTTTTAATGTCCAGATGTATAACGAGTCGTTCTTGTTATAAAAATCGACCATTTTTAAAAGGATGCTATCAAGGAGGTCTGAAATGCATTTCCTTTTTAGAGCATAAATTAACTACATTACTTTTTGCATTCTTAGCTCGTACTTGTAAGTACATTTTTGAGATTAATATGCTTAATACTTATTATAAAAAGACCTAATTACTTGCAAAGTTCTGGATGGGCCCTTTTAACTCTTCTGAAACTGTGTAAACCAAAGTCTGTGGACGCGGCTATTCAGTGAGTCTATCACAGTTTTTCATCAGATTTTTGCAAATATTTTCCACTTTCTTATGGCGGATTTTAATGCAGGCCCAGTCAAAGGTTATTTATAGTTGTAAATTACGTGTGTAAAGTGTTAAACGAAGTTTCTTTACGTCTTATGATCTATGGACCATATTAAACTAATTGGTTATGATGTTTAGGTGATAGAGTATTACTCTGTTTTAAACTTAAGTTAAAATTAACTAAGAGGAGGTACCCGTTTTTATCGCTTGCATGTTACAACAATTTTACATTTGAATTTACTCATTTACTTGGCTTAGCATACCTTAAGTTACTTTATTCTTACTTATAATAGAGATGCCCGGTTGAATAAAACAGAGAATATTAAGGCAAAACTTATGTTGGAAACCCGATAAAAACCCTACGTAGATAGCTATTAGCCCAAGATCGGAGAGCGGTTTGTATTTTCCAGAAAATATTGGCTCAATTCAGATCTTTGGATTTGTTTTTTTCTGTTATGAATGACTGTTGTTTTAAGCAATATAGCCTATTTAAATGTTTCACTACTGTGATTTTAAATTGGTGGTCATGCTGATTCAAAAACGTTTTCTGCCTGATATGTTTCTCCCATTTGCTCTAAAAATACAAAATAAATATGCCAGTTCAACTAAGACTTCCAGCCTTCAACTATTGCTAAAGCCAACTGTGGTCGAATGTTAACGAGAAAATGCTGCCCTAAAATGCAATTAAATTTGTTTTTGGAGTAGTATCCTTAGAAATCGGTGTAATGACCCACTTTTATGTAAAGAGCCAAAATTAATGAAGGTATTTCTGAGTTTTTTTTCATCCCTTTATTCCGTTGGACATGGGAGCGATTATTCTTAATATAAGATGTAGTCTTGCGCTCATTCCCGGGGCTAAATTTTTGCATATCCCTGCCCTAATATCCTGAAACTTAGCTTGACGTCAACTGTGGTACGACGAATACTATTTTTTACATTCTTCAGGCCTTACACCTGTCAACATTAGTTTAAAATCAAAAAGATTACTTACGCGTATATAACATCCAAATCAGGAGACGCTATTATATTTAGATCTTTGTCAAACCAATTTGCAAGAGGTATTGCAATAAGGGTTTTTATGAGAAATTCAAAAATAGCAGGTGTATGGGTGCCGGCAAAACTTTTATCTTTAACAATTCCAGCCATGTAAGCGTCAATTATTTTAAGCCATTTCTCAGAAGGCAGTAAAACGCGGAAATGTGATATGACGTCAGACGGTTCATGCGGTCTTTTTGTGCATATCAAACATTTTACGATACCAAGCACAGGTTCTCCTGATATGACAATGCAGTAAAAGTTTCCGTTTGTCCTTTGACGCATTAAATTTTCAAGGCACTTTTTACTCTTTTATACTAACTATCTATATCAGTAACTCAGCCTCTACTAAACTTTATTTTGTGATTTGTTCTAGAGGATGGTGTACTCATGGGTGAAGAATACGAGTTATTTATTAGAATTCTTTCTGAAATTCAGAAGAATGTTTATACGGTAATTTATTTTTTTTCACTTGTATACAATGTTTGTATGATACTCATGAAAACCTTGCATATATGTTACGACTATCTGTATAATACTCTTTGTTTCGCACTGCAGAACAAACCGACCACTTCGATACCCCATCTTCTTATCTCAGCTATTGCAATGAAAAAACCTTATCAAATTGGCGTGGATGAGGCAAGATAACAATCATTATTTTTTGACTTAAATGTAACTTATTGACATATTTCGGATATTTTGTATAACCTTATAACTATGCGCGCAATACGAAAATTTCTCAAATGCAATTATGAGGTATTGCACAGTTCTAAGTGCAGATTATGTACTATTTAGCACCTACAAGTAATCTGAAAAAATTCAAATATCATGATTTTTTATTTTAAAGCTTTCTCGTCTGCTGTCCGATGAAGAGCGCTTTCTTTTCCTCTTTCGCCAAACGTCAAACGTGCACTCCAGTTTTGATTTTATGAGGGTAAGTTCCCTAAAACCGATTGTGAAATATAGAGATTTAAGTAAAATAAGCGTATTTTCTTTATTGATTTTACGAAATCCTGCAATAAGTCATCAATTACATAGTGAATCTAAAAGGGCTTTAATAGTATCAAGTCGGCTGGCCGGCAAAACTAACCCTTTTATACTCTCGAAAAGTGGCTGTTTCCACTGGAAAACTGACCTAGCAGGCTACTGTCTCCGTCATCTCTATTCTTAATTTCAGGTTTGGCGTGAATTTGATCACGATGGCAATGGGGTTATTGATAGCAAAGAGTTGGAGGTATGCATTTATTATTTTTGGCTATCAGGAACCAAGGCGTTTCTAGAAAAACTGGTGGTAAAATCTAACGGCCTTATGAATGAGGAGAAAATAAAGGAGTTTGCAGCAATCATTGTAAGCTGTTTGTGGTTTCTTTTCGCTGCACATTTTTCCAGAATGCTCTTTACCCTTTGAGTACTTGTCAAAACTGACATTTTTGCGACACTGTCAATTTCCTGAATTTACTAAATAGTGATTTTCTAAACCGCATACTATTGCCTCGTAACAACTGCGTCACAAAGTTGATTGCGATTTCCCACTTGAAATGTTCATAAGCTATATTTTAACTCAGTACAGCGATTACTGCGCCAATTTCTTTGTTTAGGTACTGATCCTTCTTGTACGAGCGTAAAAATACTGATATAAACAGATTAAGTTTGTAAATGCCTGGAAGCATTTTGTTGCTATCATAAGAATGCTCAAACGCTTGAAACTGTTAAACGTGCTGAAGGGAGGTGAGAGTTACGTGACTTAAATGCTGGTTTATGTACTTGAGTGAGTTCTTACTGGAGTGACAGTTAGCTGCCAACAACAGATGCCAAATGCTCTTCAAGCTATCTAGTAACGGATGCTTTTTATGTTGCTTTAGATCCGTTATTTTGACAGAAATAATGATGGCACTTTGCAGCTAAGCGAAATGTCTAGGTGAGCCAAAAGTTTCTACATTTTTACACTTAAAAATTGTTTTACTACTTCCGAGTGACCTTATGAAATTTAATGCTATTTTTGTGTTAGTTTCTTCTTTATTAAGGACAGTTTTTTAAGCATGTTTTATAGACTTAAAGATATTGCAGTTCGATTTACTTTTGGTCTTAAAGAGCCAGCATGTTGTTAAGCACTGAAAAAATTGAATAAAAACGTCATCGAATGAAGCTTGCAATCGTAAATCGAGTTTATATTTATTTAATGTGCTCACTTTTTATTCCGGGAAAATATAACTTTCCAATTTCAACTTTCATGTGTTACAGACTTCTACCTACAAAAAAGAACATCATAAGCAATTGCGCTTTCAAAGTAAGCCTAAATATTTACATCATTACAGCTACACTAGGAAATTTCCGAAAAGGATCTCGACCGTATTTTTGACTTCTATGATCAGGTAAACATGCAGTAAGCAATATTTCTGTATTTATCCTAGTCCAGCCTTTTTGAATAAACCTCTTGTAGAGTTTGCCTTCCAGGATTTCATGTAAGGCAACTGTGAACATTTCGTCTGTGCACATGAGACCTTATTAGGAAACTGTTGTTACTTTAAAAAGTGTATTCAGAGACATAACCGACAAAGGCAAGGAAGAGTGTAACTGAAAGTTATTGCTCAATTGAAGCTTGGCAAGCTGAAATAGGCAAATAAATCGGCATCCGGCAGTACCGAACCCTTCTACTCCCACCGATAATAGTACTTATCCCTTTATTATCTGCATATCACCCTTGTGACGCTAAACAAGACGAAAAAGAACACTAAAATATCAGTCCTCACCCAGATTAGATGAGTGAACGCAACTCCAACCGGACCTCAAACGAACGTTTTCACACTGAAATGCAAAACATAGTCAGAACCCGAGTTACTAGTTTGCTTATTACTGCTCTTTCCGTCTATTTATTGTATTCCAACTGGGCTTAGGATTGTCAGTAAATTTAAGGGATTCTGCCCACCGCTTCCTGCAGAAACCTATCCTACATTCCGCTGCCTAAGTTCCCCGCAAAATTACTCGACCTCACGCACATCATGCGGAGGATATTTATGCTGGCCAGTCTAGTTCCCTCTAGAAATGGGAAGTATTTTAACCATACAAGTAATCATCCGACGTGTGTAGTATGAAGTCTAAAAGAGACGCATTTATGTCTGGTTATACTACCTCCTTATTTTGCCTCATTTGATGGTGAATGAGTCAAACCTTTTCCCCTTAAAGGTGCATACTTAAGGAGAACATTGTACATGTCTGACTTGCATGTTGGTAGCCTGGACTAGAATCACATGTTGTGTTACTTGTGGAAGTGGGGGATTAATGAAGTGCTGCCGTGGCAACTGCGTTAGGCCGTATCTTGTCCTCTGACATTACTTCCCCCTTACAGCACATGGGCTCCTGTCTTGGAGGTAATTTAAACATCTGTCGCATCACCTGTGGATACCACTAATGTACACACGTGCAAAAGCGCAAAACGGGTCTACTTTTATTATTGTCGCATGTTTACCCCTCAACCAAACTTCACATATAACTGGCTTCACTGAAATCCGACCCATGTGTCCGCTACTATCCTTCTTCGTCGTCAAGCTTTAGATAATGTCTTTGGCGTAAACGGTGCTACAGGCTGAAAAAGTCTATCTTTACATCTTTACGCATTGTTTATTGTGTGCAAATATGAAACCTCTTATTGGCAGCTCAAACAATCGACAGCAAAAACATGAGTTGCCAAATTTTTAAAATTCGGTGGCTCGAACCCAGGCGTTTCACGTTAAGCATTATTCACTGTTAGTTTTTGATATACACATAAAAATACCCAGTTTGAGGCACAAGTTCTCCTCCGGATGCTCAAACGTTTTCGATTGCTGGGTATTTTTCGTCGGTTTTTGTCCTTAAATACCCTTGTTTAACCTAATTTGTCCTTTTAAAATAATCTGTACTCCTTTTTAGGATCACAACGGAGTAATCGAAAATGCGGAATTCGAAGGCCTAGTTAAAGACATAATAGAGAGCGTCAAAGATGTAGGTTGCTAAGTGATTTTGCCCTTCTAATTTCTTGTTTCACAATGCTCAATCTACTAGGCACTCCAGCGACAATATGGTAGCATGTGCTGAGTACTAGCGTGCACTCTAGTAATCAAATTTTACAGTTATCAGTGTTCGCATTAGCATGGGTGCCATGTTGTGGGAGTGTTTCCACAAAAGTCTACGCATGGCCACGTATGCTCGTCTTTTCTGTATGTCTGCGGAACAGGGCATCGTTTTATACGTTTCAAAAGCTGCAGCTGTAGTAGTTGACGTCAGCGGCGCTCCTTTCCATCAAAGACTTTACGCCGTTGAGCAGGGATTTGGCTCAATGTTGTTCGACTGACTGAGTCGACGACTAATGAAATTTGATCGCTGACCTGTAACCAAGTTAATTTGTGCTTCTAATCAACGGAGACAACTTCTAACGGAGTTTTTACTTCACTTAATCCAAAGTGCAGTTGTGGGTCTTAACTGATTCTAAAGTTAAACACTTATGTAAAGCAACAGCACTAAATAGGTTTGAAAAGACTCCGACCTAAATTCAAACGAAGTTATGTGATAGCAAGCAACTGATGAGTGCAAATTCCGCTTCACAGTTTCAGCTCATAACTATTAGGAGATTCATATTGTCTACAGATAAGCGGAGGTTATTGCTTTGAAAACTTAACGATAATCGGTGGCGGAAAGCTAGTAAAGGCACGGCTAGCTTTCCAAAGTATCCAAACACCACAAAAAACTCACTGATTTCCTGCACTAAGATGACAAACTTCTGATGTCCATTTGATGCGTTTTAATGAAACAGACTGATTAACCTTGTCGCAAAAAATTAACACCACAACAAATATTATACCAAGTCATGCATTATGTAGAGGTAAAAATTATGTTCGACTCTTGATCAGATCGTACGAATAATAATGGTAACGTCAAAGTGTTTGGCTTCTCTAAGTGAAATGGAAACCCAAACATCACATCAATCAAACCGAATTATCTCGTTCACGTCTTCACTGAAGATGACAACGATTTTTAATACGTTTAGTGCAGGCGAAAACACACTGAATGGTTGAGTTACACAACTTTTATAAAATTTTAAAAGGTATCTTTATGTCTCAAAACCAGGATCGGTCTCTTACATAAAACACAAGACAAAGATATGTCCAGTTTGACAGGGGGGAGACAAAAAGGTCAAACTGTACAAAATGTTAACGGAGATGACGTTTCGTTTTCAAAAACGGCCGCGTTTTATTGTATCTGACTATTACCAACCGTTTTAGAGGCAGTCCACTTGTGCTATTATATATTCGTAGAAATTCGGGTGCGAAACATTTTAATCCTCGTTAACACTACTAGAGTAGTAGCACATGAGCACTTGTCCATTGTGAGGCATGCGCGCCATTCATTAGAATCCGGGTCATACAATATGGCAGGGACAGCCGGACCGCCATGTCAGGGTGTCACTTTATGAACTAGACATCAGAGGTCCAAGTTTCAATCAGCAACTGACCTACGTGGAGACAGATTCGCAACATTAACATTGTGTTCGCCAGGCTGCATGATTACGCAGTTCGAGAAACTTTGAGAGGCGCAACGAGTCAGCATTTTGCATGGAAAGTTTGTGCATCTGAGTTCTGTCATCTCGAAGAACGGCCTGAATAAGTGGGCAAAAACGATGGCGTGTGCTAGCCCAGAAACAGGTAAGGACCTGAGCGAGGACACGGACTGTGATTACAGTGCTACGCATTAATGCATGACCCTTATCATATATTCATCCAGTGTTGCGCTGACGGTCACTTGCTACAGTGTCATACATAAACAAAGACTTAGCTATGCGTTGGATCCAGTGCGACGGCTGCTCACTTATAAGCACGTACTCAATGTTTCCATCAAAAAGTCTTTTCTAGTGTCCAAAGGCTCAAAGGATATTACTGCTGCCCTTTGTGGAACAACATGCTTCTTTGAAGAGGAAACTGACTAGCTCATATTCTTTTTTAATAGTAACTGAGTTGGGTTGTATCTTGTTCATTTTGGCCTTCCAGTTTTTATCCTACGTCCGTTGTAGATGTCGTGAGAAAACCGCGTTTAACAAACCGATTTGCATTTATTTTAGAATTATGAATTAAAGGACCTAGAAGAGTATAAAAATCTGCTCCTTCAGCAGTGGGATGAAAATGCTGATGGAAAGATTAGCAAGGATGAACTGAAGCTGCTTCTTCTACACGACCACGCGACGGCCATTAAGCAGTAGTACCATTTACTCCCTTCACCTGTATGCCTATAAAATGCGAGGATATCGCTTGTTGTCGACACAGACCTCTAAAGTCATCAAACAGCTTCAGTATACTAATACTCTCCACCTTTTTAAGTTGTAATTTTTGACAACGTGTTTAAAAAATCCATATGTGGGTTCCACACTTTAAGGTCGAATGAAGCCATAAACACTTATGCATTATAAATGCTAACACAAAGTCCCGTTCATCGCTGCTTTTTGCCAGATTTGTACATTCATCGCCCCCTATTCCATGTGTCCCCTTCCAGGACTTATTATTAGTGTCAAGCGATAGCTTCCTTCATTGTAATTTTATTGCTCTAAAAATCCGTTCCGGCACCCAAGAAACCATGAAAATTATGCCACTTTAAAATATGCATTTGATAGTCAACTGGAGTTTAGATAGTTGTCCTTTTAATTATACTTCACAGGAATTACTCTGGATTAATAAACATAACCGTGAAATTCTTCTCCATCAAAACGCCGATTCAGTAGTCGGTCTAGCATTGGAATGCAATTCAAAATATAATATCTAACAGAGGACAGTGATGCTTATTTATGACAAAGTTAATGGGCCAGCGTACGTGTATTTGTGGTTTGGGAGGCTGCTATCTAACGCGAGAACTCGGTCCCTTCTCAGGGCGGACAGGCTGCAATGACTACTGCCTAGTGTGGCCTTAACTGAACTACCAATCAGACAGATCTGAGGCGTCTCCCTTTCTTTCTGAGCAAAAAAGTGGTCCATTGTCCACGTTATAGGCGTACATGGCAGACAGACGGGGTGTTAGGCTTCGTCAACTGATTCGACAAATCTCGTCTCCAATCTTTTTAACTCTGTCTTGTCATCGACCAAGGAGGGCAGGGAGGAAGAGAGTGCGGTAGATGCAGCGTAAGTCTACTACTACCACAAGGGAATCCACGAGCAAGTCAATCCTCCTGCGCCCATCCAGCTCTGGCCCACACGTTGGATAGCGGCGTTAGTGATGGTCGAATTGTCGTCGGTTGCTGTCGACATTCGGTAATTGCGTAGTGTTTGCTGCTTTCATGAAAGCTTTGGTTTCCAGCCCGGACGAAGAACGTTTTTCTGGCCATTTTGCCGTCGTGCATGAACCATTCCAAAAAGAATTTAAAAAGACGGAGAAAAGGAGACGGTGGCCAAAAAAGTGACAAAACGATTTCCGGAATATTAAGCTAGCGTATAGTAACAAACTTTGTTGTGGTCAAAACCTAATGAATTCTTTTAAGAAATTACCGCGTGACTCTAGCATTTTGGACAGAATAAGTGACAGCATATCGCATCATAATAACATAAACAGATTTTTTACAGTTGAGGCCTTGCTACCCGACCTTAATTACCGACATTTTTGCGAGTGTAGAAGTGCCTGAAAACGGCTTAAACTACTGGTACAATGGCGGATTTAGACATGTCATCTTGAATGAATTAATTCTAAAAAGACAGTTTCCTGTTGACAAAAAACAGCCCGGACAACAGAGCTGCACGAAAATGCCTATGTGGGTGGAAGTGATGCAGACGACGATAAGTTGGGAAATGCAATTGTTCACGCACAATAGCAAGAAGATAATTTGTTCTGCATCTGTTTTAACATTCTACTAGGTAAAACGAAAACCCTCAGCATACGATATTTGTAATTGCGAACTGTAAGGTGTTTCAAAGTAACATTACATCAATACTTTTACTAATGCTTTTAAGATTAGGACCCGACCCACGGGCGTTAAGCAATCTTACACTATGCGCATTGCACCTTTTTAGTAGCCTCAAGAATTTCGCAACTTATAATTTAAGTGTCCAAAGGAAAACAAGACACAAACTCGGGTTCAAAGCTGTTTGAGTATCAAAATTTTAACAATCGAAGGAGTCTTTTATTTAAGCAGAAACTTTTAATATAAGTTTTACTAACAAAAATACAAAAAGGGATTTTTTTGTACATATGCCATGATAAAAGACTTTTGAATTTGCAAAAGCATCTTAAATCAGCTGAAACGCATCACAGTTTTTGGCAAATTTCATGTTTGCAGGTGTCCCAACGATACGCATTGAAAGACGGATATTTTTGTACGTGTAAAATAGTAATGGATAATACCGTCCAGTTGGTACAATTTGAACAAGCATTTAGCTCGCCCTTCATGATAAACAAACCCTGATTTTCCAACATTTCTAGCTCTTCAATTGCATTGAATTCTATTGTGTCTACTGGAAGCCTTCTGTGCGTGCCGGCCACAACTCAAAATTATAAAGATATGGCATTTTATCTTATGCCGAGACAATTTGGATACCAAACAGCAATGTTGCTGAATAGTTTGTGATAATAACACAAGAAAATACTTATACAAAAAAACCCGAAACTACAATGACTTGTTGTCTTCCAAACAGCGGGTTTTAACACTTAGATAGCACATATTTTCAGGTTCTACGTGATGTGATTATGCGACAAACACCCTAATATGCATAGCACAAAAATACGCTTTCTTTAACTCGTTTAGTAAAGAATCACGTAGCCTTCATATTCCACACACCAAAAGGGTATATTTGGGTTTACAAAATTGTCTAATTATGGGATTTATTAAGGCCGCACAATGTCCATTTATACAGCGTCCTACCTGTCCGCTTACCAACGCTCCTCGTGAAATGTACAAAATAGTCTGCATTCATTGCGAAATTTTATAAAATCTCTACGATATCTTTTTAGAGGCATGGGGAATATATAGTTTCCCTTTGGCCGAAAGCATGCATCTTGCAGACTGTAATCGCCAAACGTTACTGCAACGACAAATCAGGCTCAAAATTATACAGGAATTGTAAAACGTTTTCAAAACCGAAATATTATGTTTTTGCAATATAAAATGTGGAGGTACCGTGATTCTGTACCACACATATGAAAGTTGTATTTTTGTGCATGTTTTCTATATGTATATGTTTTCTATAAGGTATATTTGGATTTATAAGATCATCAAGAATCAATGTAAAAATGTTTGCTGCTTATATGGTCATTTTTTACGAGGTGAGGTTTCTATAAGAGGTCAGAAAAAAGGGCATTTAAAAGCCGATATCCTGGTAACTCCGGAATATTGAAGGACTATATCGCAGCCTAATCAATATTAAAATTCCGCCTAAGCAATCCTTCCTGATCGAAAACTCATCACGGAAATTTGACCAACACTTCAAGAGATCGGTTACATACTGTATATTCAGAGTAGATTGAAGTACTTTACTCATAAATATCAAACTTATATCAAAAAATCAGTTACCTAGTCACAAGTTTCTGCTTTTGAGGCTAGGGCGTTTTCTAATTTTAAAAGTTTCAGATATTTATCGCTATGTATTTGTGGTCCACTGCTCAGAAACGTTGCACTACCTAAGTTGCCGCTGAACGACCTGTAAAATCTTTCAAAAAACCTGCGTATACTATTCCTGAGCGGTTCTGATAGAGAGGGGAGCCCTTAACACGGCTCGTCTGGGTGTTTGAAACAATATGTCGTCAGACTTTGCGCTTTAATTATATGCAAAATTTTCGGATAAGTCTTACTCCCGATGAAACAAAACACGAACGTTTGCGCTGTCTTTTGATTCAAACCGTAGGAAAAATTGCGAATAGTATCACCAGAAAAGCTTCGTACGCCGAGCAGGATTCTTTACTATGCTAGAGTCTTCCGCGCCCGAAATTAGTTTTTAATGTACGCAAAGAACCAAAACTGCCAATCTGATTTGACAGCCCTCATTTATGTGTTCAATCACTTTGACAGCTTCAAATTATACGCTTGTGGGTATCATTGTCAAGGGTCTCCAAGAAAACGAACTGAGTTGCAAAAGGCACGTTCAAAATAATTGCTGTTTTTTTAGGTAGATGTGGTAAGACGTTTCGTTAATGGATTAGGCTGGCCCGACAAAAGGGATATCCAGGCCTAAATTAACTAAATTATAAAAGAAGGCAATTTTCTTACTATGAATATGTCGTCATTTCCTTTGAGAAGTTTGAAGAGACCGAGAGCGGGCAGTGAAGGATAGTGCCATCCAAATAACGCAAATGAATTATGTGGACCTTCATCAGTAGATACGGCAATCCTCCTACCAAGTTCAGGACGCATATGGTTGTCTGTTAGGACTTGCCTTCATTAGTGAGATTAAAGACGCAAATCCTCTGCCAATTAATTTTCTCTCTAAGACATGAAGTATCTTCTAAGATGCTGATATTCCAATAAGGAAACTCACTGACTAATCTATGAAGAAAGGTAGAGATGAAACTTATTTGAGCTCCAATTTGTGGTTATTTAGGAGAAGTTTTTAACGCTTTATTTGGTTTGGAAGATAAGTCTACGAGTGTGCGTGTTCTTTTAAAAAACTTTCCACGGGCCAGTATATTTATACCGAGTAAAAGCAAAACATTTGGGTAGAAAGAAAAACCGACTGCGGCTCGTTCTTCGCACAGGTGGCCTGTGGGAATAGATGGGAGGGGAGGTAACAAGCAACCGTGAGTTAGGAGTTCACATGCTGCGGACTCATAATAGGAAACTTTGAGAAAAAAGTTTTTCGCCTCCGAAGCCAGTGAGATGCATTTTGCCGATCTGCCGTTAGTATTATTTGCAAAATTCCTGACCGGATACCCGTACCCGCGAAGCCATTCCTGGATCTTTCTAAGTTCGTTGTTAAGGTTATCTACCAAACAGACTTCGTTAGCCCTTTGCGTGAAACAACGGACTAGATTGCTTGCTTTTGAGATAGTTGAAAATAACTGAAGTTTGTGTATTGACTAGATTAGGTTTTCGGTAGTTCGTTCGGTAGTTAACGCTGGTTCTTCTACTTAAAAGCCTATTTAAGATACAGAGCAGAGCTGCCATTTTTGCCTCTGACGTTAATATGATCGACGGATATACCTACTTTACAGCATCTCAGAGGTCGTTTTAGTGGCTTAACAATTGCGGTTACTAAGATTTCAACACAATGGCTCAATAATCTGGTTGCT